CGCGGTGGCTCATGCCTATATTCCCAGCACTTTAGGAGGCCGAGGCAGGCAGATCACAAGGTCAGGAGATTGAGACTATCCTGGCTAACACAGTGAAACCCCATCTCTACTAAAAATACAAAAAATTAGCTGAGCGTGCTGGCGGGTACCTATAGTCCCAGCTACTCGGGAGGCTGAGGCAAAAGAATTGTGTGAACCCAGGAGGCAGAGCTTGCAGTGAGCCAAGATCGTGCCATTGCATTCCATCCTGGGCAACAGAGCGAGACTCCATCTCAAAAAAAAAAAGAAAAAAGAAGTTGTAAGAGGAAGTGGGAGTTTCCACATACTAGAATGTGGGGGGCTGCTTTATTCAGCAAATATATGAATACTTGATGTGCTCACAGTATTGGGCTGAAGACATAAAGATAATTGAACTCTTCCCTCGAGTTCAGAGTCAGGAAAATGGACATATTTTCAAATTAGTACCATAATATTGTAGTTACCATGGTAGAAATACGTACTAGGATACTTTTATTTTGATAAATAAAGTGCTCTTGATCTTCCATCTCTTCTCTCCTTCAGGTTTTAGTTACCACCTGTAGACAGATTTACTGAACATATCTGTCTCCTACTTTCAGATTTGTACTAAATACCCTCACCTAGATGTTTTATCAGGTTTCAGATTTAATATTCCAAAACCAAATTTCCTGTCTTTTTTACTACTTTCCTTTCTGCTCCCATTTCCCTGTTTATCCCAATTTCCCAGGCTTAAAACATCAGGATTACCTTTGATTCCTGATACTCTACTGTGCCCTACATCAAGTCACTTGCCAAATTTTTTTAGTTCTGTCTTGACAGTGTCTTTAGTTCTCACTGCCACTACCTACCTTCTCTTTGATTAATCTTCTTGTTTCATATCATTCAACCATTCAGACATTTTCAATGATTCCCCATCATTTACAAAACAAAGTACAGGCTTTTTTTGGGTCTTTTGAGTCCTCTAGATCTGTCCCTAACTGGTCTTTTGGGTCCTCTAGATCTGACCCTAACTGGCCTTTCCAAATGTGCTCCTGATTGTTCTCCAGACGCTTCAGCCAAACATAAATAATCACTGGTCATCAGACATTAATTTATTTTTCAACCTCTCTGCTTTGATTTTGTTTTTTTGCATCACTGAGGATCTTCATCCTCTACATTTACCTGTCTTTTCATTACCTGGCTCATATGCTACCACTGTCCTCACACCTTTTCACATTTTCCCTTTCAAGAATGTTATACTCGTTTCCTTTTTGAAATCATAATGTATCATTTATGGTACTGTCAGTTGACTTTGGTTCACAGTAGATTTATTTGGCATCTACTGCATTGCTAGCCCCTGTTCTAGGAGTTAATACTCCAATTGCAAACAAGTAAAGTACCTACCATTAAGCCGCCCACAGTCTAACCCTCCACGTGCAGAAACAGAAAGTACATGCAAGGCCAGGAAGTGAACGCATGTCAGATATGGTCAACTTGTGGGGTGAGAAAAACCTTCATATGCATGTCTGTTGGTAGAACAGGGCCTTTTTTTTTTTTTTTTTTTTTTTTGAGACGGAGTCTCGCTCTGTCACCCAGGCTGGAGTGCAGTGGCCGGATCTCTGCTCACTGCAAGCTCCGCCTCCCGGGTTTACGCCATTCTCCTGGCTCAGCCTCCCGAGTAGCTGGGACTACAGGCGCTCGCCACCTCGCCCGGCTAGTTTTTTGTACTTTTTAGTAGAGACGGGGTTTCACCGTGTTAGCCAGGATGGTCTCGATCTCCTGACCTTGTGATCCGCCCGTCTCGGCCTCCCAAAGTGCTAGGATTACAGGCTTGAGCCACCGCGCCCGGCCGAACAGGGCCTTTTAGGTAGAGGGAACAACATATGCAAAGGAGCAGAGGCACAGAATAACATAGTAATTGGAGTAATTTAGTATTGCTTCAGCATGGAAGTTAGGGGAGGGATGGTAGAGAGAGATTGTGGGGGATAAGTCAGGAGACTAAAGCAGGGATGGAGCACAAAAAGCCTTTTATACTCTGCTAAGAAGTATGGACTTTTTTTCTGTGAGTAGTGCTAAGCCATTGAGTTTTAAGAATAGCAGTGACATAGTGTTAAAACATAAGATCACTCTGGCAGCTGTGTCGAGTGGAGTAGTTAGAGGAGTGAAGTTGGCGACACAGGACAAGAGGGGGAACTTTATAACAGTTCAGGCAAGAAATAAAAGCCTGAACAGTTAGGCTGAGTATGTTGTAGATATCTGGGTATATCCTATCACTGGTTCTAGACCAGGAGTCCAGCCAACTACCAGTTTTTATGAACAGAGGGCTTTTTTGGAACACAACCACACCCATTAATTGGTGTACTGTCTGTGGTTGCTTGCATGCTACAGTGGCAGAGTTGAGTATTTACAACAGGGACTGCATGGCCCACAAAGCCTATTTTTGTGCTTTTATTTTAGGTACTATCTGCCACTTTACAGAAGTTTGCTGGCCCTCATTCTAGACTTTAAATCCCTATCTTATTCACCTCAGAGTCTCCCACAGTACCCCAAATAGGTCTAAGTAATGAGCACGTGGTAGGTGTCCAGTAAATTTTTATTCTTTTTTTGAAAAAGAGTCTTGCTCTGTCCCCCAGGCTGGAAGGCAGTGGCACTGTCTTGGCTCACTGCAACCTCCGCCTGCCGGGTTCAAGCGATTCTTCTGCCTCAGCCTCCTGAGTAGCTGGGGCTACAGGCATGTGCCACCACGCCCAGCTAATTTTTTGTATCTTTAGTAGAGTTAGGGTTTCACCATGTTGGCCAAGCTGGTCTCGAACTCCTGACCTCGTGATCCACCTGCCTTGGCCTCCCAA